GCTGCCTGGTCTGGAATTTTGCAGTGTTAATTACTTGTACCTCCTCAAAGCTTGGTGAAGTAGAAAACCTATCTGGGGATGTTTGTACACTTGAGGATTTGACTTACAAAATGTTTGTGAAGGACAGTAACAGATGGAACAAACAAGGCATGTGTGAATGCTGGTCTGTCTGTCCTGATGATTAAAGGACCAGTGAACTTCTCATCTGAAGGTATTTGAAATACTTTTTAAATGTAAACTATTAAGTATTTCTAGAAATTTTGTTTTATGTCCCGAGTGTCCAAATAGTACTACTTTTTTTGAGAGACTCAAGATAAATTGGCAGTTATAGTGCAGAAGATACTACATTTTGGTACTATTTTTAGGAAATTCAAGATCTTTCTTAGAGGTGACAGGTCATAAGCAGAACCTGCTGGTGATGTGTAAGTAGCATTGGGGAATATTTGGGGAATTGAGAACTTGTTACACCTGTCTGAGCTGAGTGGCCTGGTCACATCTTTACACTTTATTGCCAACCAAGGGCTTTGCTTTCAGGAGCCAGACTGTAGCTGCCTGTTTGTAGATGGTCCCCATCTCACCACAGGTTACTGAAAGATTTAATACCAGTATGATAAACTAGTGTAAGATACTTGCCGACTTATCTTTGCAGCTAATGATGACTGTTACCAGAGTAGTAAGGAAATTACAGTGGGAGATAATTTTGACTTAAAAGTCTTTCTTATACTATGTTCTGTCCTATTGCTGTGTCTTACCAGCCTTGGGAGGAACAGTCATTCCCTTGGGGCTTGTAGTTGATCAGCAGTGGGTTTGTACTCTGCTGTGAAGTGGAGCATTGCAGCTGTGCATAGGCACCAGCCCTAGGGTTTTGGATGAACTCAGTCATTGTTGCTTTATAAAATGTTCAGTAATTAAAAGGATGATAATGAGCTTCTATACATGACTACAATTTTTTTTTTCCTGTCTGTCTTACCCTCCTCTCTCGTACCCATGCTTGCACATTTCAGTCATTGGTGCTTAGGAAGGTAAGTGACAGCCTTGGCTGCTGCTGCCATAAATGTTTTGTGATAACCATAGTCCAGTGTAAGCTGCAGCAGGAGGAGCTGAAAGCAGCAGCATTAAGCTAGGGTGACCCCAAAACCATTGCTAAACACAGCTGGAACCAGCATGTATTGGGTTCCCTGCCCCAGTGCAGTGTACAGCAGCAGTGCTTTTCCACAGTAGCCTTTTTTTAATCTATTTTTCTACTTGAACTGCTGAAGCAAGCCAACTCTCCACAATAAGCCTGTAGACTACACCTCCTCCAGTGTTACTTTTTGTGCTTTGTACCCTTCCCAGACCTGTCCATTCTGCCACCAAGGCAAGGCACTAGAATGTGTTACAAATCCTCCCTCTACCACTGTGAATGCTACATCAACAGCTGTCTCTTGCCCTCACCTTTGGTTCAGGTGGAATTCAGCATGTGTTTGGGAGGAGTCATACAGACCCTGCCTGAGCAAACCTGAGCAACCTGATGGTTGAGAAGTCATTTATTCAGAGGATACCACATTGAAAGCCTGTATAAGTCTGAGGTGGAAAAGGGAATCTGTTCCTATTGCACTCCCCAGCCACCTTGAACAGCAGCAGCAGCAGTATTTGCTTACCCTGACTGCCATGGCTGCCAGGCACATGGTGCCATCGGTACCATATCCCCACACACCCCAGTGCTTTAACACTGTGCCCCAGGATCTATATGCCTTAATAGCTTTTCACTAAACCTCACAAAATACCCAAGCATCCAGAAGCAGTTGGATGTTGACCACATGGACCTATGGGAGCAGTTTAGCTTTCTGCAGCAGTGCTGGTTTTGGCTAGGACACAGTTACTTTTCTTCATAGAAATTAATAATATGTGCTGAAAATATAGTAATGCAGGGATGTTTTAGTTATTGCTGAGCAGCCCTCATGGTGTTAAGCCCTTTTCTGCTTACACTAACCCAGCAGAGAGGACACTAGTGATAGCATAGAGTAAAATG